CAGAACCATATAGTGCAGGTTCTTCAATTCAAGGAACCAGAACCTAAAATGCAGGTTCCGGTTCCTTTCCCGGGTACCCTATAAAAAATCAATTACCCCCTATTAGTTTAAAAAATGACAAAAATACCTTAAAATTTTACAAATACACCCCTAACAAATTTTGATTACTCATTCATTTGTATCCAATGTAACTCATAATCTGTAAATTTAATATTATAAATTAATAATGTTTATAATATAATATAGGAATGTTGCAATTAATTAAGTAATTATTAAATTATAATGTAATGTTATAATTAATTAAGTGATCATACTATAATGTAATGTTATAAATACTTTTAATTACTTAAGTAGTTATTTAACAATAATTGAATGCTATAATAAATTAAATTTCTAATAATTTAATAAGTTTAATATTTATAATATAATGTCATAATTAATTAAGTAATCATTTAATTATGTAATGTTATAATTAATTATGTGATCATGCTATAATATAATGTTATAATAAATTAAGTAATCATACTATAAATCTATAATTTAATATTGTAACTAATTAAATTTCTAATTATTTAATTAATATACTAATGTTTATAATGGAATGTTATAATTGATTAAGTAATCATACTATAAATATATAAAATAATGTTATAATTAATTAAATTTTTAATCATTTAATCAAGTAATATAATAATATAATAAATTATTAATGTTTGTAATGTAATGTTATAAATTCATAACTAATTATATAATCACTTAACTATATAATGCTATAATTAATTAAGTGATCATAATATAATATAATATAATGTAATAATGTTATAATTTAATTTAATAATTATTTAACTATAATGTAATGCTTAATTAATTAAATTTCTGATTATTTAAGTAAGTAATCATTTGTTTATAATGTAATGTTATAATTAATGTTTATAATATAATGTCATAATCAATTAAATAATCATCTGATTATGTAATGTTATAACTAATTATGTAATCATACTATAATAAATTAAGTAATCATACTATAAATCTTTAATATAATATTATAATTAATTTATTTATAATAAAATGTTATAATTAATTAAGTGATCATTTAATTATCATGTAATGTTACAATTAATTAACTAATTAAGTAATCGTACTATAAATTTATAATGTAACGTTATAATTAATTAAATTTCTAATCATTTAATTAAGTATTGTACTAATGTTTATGTAGTAAATTAGTAATTACTGATGTTTATAATATAATGTCATAACTCATAATCAATTAAGTAATTATTTAATTATATAATGTTATAATTAATTATGTGATCATACTATAATGTAATGTTATAGTGAATTAAGTAATCAGACTATAGATCTTTAATATTATAATTAATTAAATTTTTAATCATTTAATTAAATAATGTAATAATGTAGTAAATTACTAATGTTTATAACATAATATTATAAATTTATAACTAATTAAGTAATCATTTAACTATGTAATACTATAATTAATTAAGTGATCATAATATAATGTAATGTAATAATGTTATAATTTAATTAAGTAATTATTTAACTATAATGTAATATTTAATTAATTAAATTTCTAATCATTTAATTAAGTAATCATTCGTTTATAATATAATGTTATAATTAATGTTTATAACATAATGTCATAATTAATTAAATAATCATCTAATTATATAATGTTATAATTAATTATGTAATCATACTATAATGAAATATTGAAATATTACAATTAATTAAGTAATCATACTATAAATCTTTAATATAATATTATAATTAATTTGTTTATAATAGAATGTTATAATTAATTAAGTAATCATTTAATTATAATGTAATGTTATAATTAATTACGTAATCATTTAATTATAATGTAATGTTATAATTAATTACGTAATCGTACTATAAATTTATAATGTAATGTTGTAATTAATTAAATTTTTAATCATTTAATTAAGTATTGTATTAATGTTTATATAGTAAATTAGTAATTACTAATATTTATAATATAATGTCATAATCAATTAAGTAATCATTTAATTATGTAGTGTTATAATTAATTATGTAATCATACTATAATGTAATGTAAGAGTGAAATAAGTAATCATACTATAAATCTTCAATATAATATTATAATTAATTAAATTTTTATATCATTTAATTAAATTTGTACTAATGTTTATAATAAAATGTTATAATTGATTAAGTAATTATACTATAAATCTATAATGTAATGTTATAATTAATTAAATTTCTAATTATTTAATTAAGTAATATACCAAATGTTATAACTTATAAGTGAACTAATTAAGTAGTAATCAATTAATGTAATGTTATAATTAATTATACTATAAATCAATTAAGTAATGTTATAAAATTATAATTAATTAAGTAATCATTTAACTATAATATAATATTATAATTGATTAAATATAATATTTAACTAGTAATAAAATTTATTAATGTTTATCAATTTATCATAAATAATTAATTAATTGTTAATTTATTATAGGTATACTTAGAACTTGATAATTGAAGTAAATAAGTAAATATATTATTATTCAATCAAATATACTATTTTATTCAAAAATAATTTTTTTATTATTTTTAAAATTTTAAATTTTTTTTTTTTGTTTTATAATTCCAATTATTCACTTAATTAATCAAAACTTTAATATTAATATATTATAATATATTAAAGTTTTTAATATGATGTAATTTATATGTAATAAGTACAATTGTATATTTATTTACTTAGGTTACTCTAAAAATTTAACTTTTCTATTTTAAATTTTTTTATATGTAAAATAATAGAAACCTCCCATTATTCACATTTCACAAATATTTCATTGCAGTCTAGGTTCTAAATAGGTGCCAAAACAGGTTTCAAAACAGGTTCCAAAAATCAGTTCCGAACAGATTCTAAACCGGGTACCTGTTACATGTTCCAAACAGGGTACCCGTTTTAGTTCTTTTTCTAGGTTCCAGTTCCGATTTCGGTTCCTCCACACATAAGAACTGGAACTGGAACAGGAACCAGAACCGGAATCGGAACCTCACAGTGTCGGTTCCAATAAAATAGAACCGGAACCTACCAAGGGGTGAGCACGAGTAGCGGGTAGAATCGAAACCTGCAAGTAGAACCAGAATCGGAATCGAAACCTACCCGCACAGTGCTAGTTCTAGGTAAGTTCCGGTTCTGATTCCAGTTCTACTCGCAGGTTTCGGTTCTACCTGCTACCCGTGCTCACCCCTAAATTCATTATATTCGGTTACAAAAATCTGTTACAAGATGAAAACACCCTTTATTATTTGACTTAATAATTCTTTTATTATTTTATATTATGTCAATAGATTCAATTGCCAATATATACATTCTTTAAATATGAAATTACTGATATACCCTCAACTATTCATGGGAATTAAATTACCAATTTATCCTTCTATTTTTTTTTTAGTAAAAATAATTTATTGTAAGTTAACTAAAATTTATACACAATTTTTTTTCACAAACTTACAAAATACAAGATATACGAACTTCCAACAAATACATTAAAAACTGGCTCTGGGACTACAAGATATATATATGTATATATATATTTTTTAAAATGGGTTTTATTTTAAATAATCAAATGGATCCATAAAATTATGAATATCAATACAGAAAACTTGACCCAGAAACGTTATCTTAAAGTTTTCCATTTTTTGGATTAATAACCTGTGCATTGTTAAAGACACTCAAATATTATTCAGGTGTTGTCTATTTAAATTTGTTAATCTGTGTTGGCGTATATTAAACTTGCTAGAAAATTATGATAAATATTCCTTTTTTTATTTAATACCTTCACCAATAAATTAATTTATTTAGGTTTAATCTAATGTTCAAATGCGCGGGGGATGGGGGACGGGTAGTCATACGCGCGCCGGACAGGCTGGGGGCCGCGCGATGGGCGCTGGCTGAGGTTTTTTGTTGAACAGGTGGTGGGCGACTTGTCAAGGTACCTGTGTGGAGGGATTGGATATGGCGGAAATCATCCAAATCTTCCACAAAGCAGAAATAAAAAACAACACTTCAAAAACAAATCAAACTCCACAAAATCGACAAAACAATCCACTTTCAACTGTCAAAACAAATTTCTCCAAACAGCGGCGGCAAAGGCAGGGGTAGGGGTGTGAGATGACGAGGAGGGACCGGTGGGGGACGATGGGGCAGATGGAGGTGGCGGCGAATGGCGGGGGGGTAAGATGCAACTGCTCGCAGTCGTGAGATTGCGCGACTACGAAGGAGAAAGGAGGTCTTTGAGGCGGCAGCTCGGTGGAGAGGTAAGCAGAACGGGTTTGGGGCGATGAGGAGCTGGTGATGGAGGTAGGCAGAGTCATCGGAGGCGGCAAGAGAGGCCAGCTGCGGCGCCGACAGGAGGCCGGCTCGTGGCTGAAGGTTGCGACGCCGCCAGCTCAGCTAGCGGTTGCAGGTTACGCCGGCGTCGCAGCCTCCAGCGTAGAAGGAAGAGATTATGGCGAAGAAAAGAAGAAAAAAGAAGGAAAGAGAAAGAAAAGGAAAGGAAATTTTTCAATTTTGATTTCTAAGGCTATAAGTAAATTGACCATTTTGCCCTTCCTTAGAAAGGATTTTTCTATGAAAACATAATGGTAGGTGAGAATATGTCGTACGCCCTTTTCTTAATGAATATTCTACATGGGCAACAAGAATTAAAGATCCCAAACTTGATCTTAAAGAGCAAGCATATACACTTTGCAAATTAGTTAAGTAAAGAATAAAGATCAAAATAAACAGCTGGGTCGATTATTTTAATCTATAAAAATAATATTGCTTTAGAAACAGCCTTGAAGAATAAAGATTGTCTTCAACTTTGACAAAAAAAAAAGGGACAAACTTGTAATGTAATCTGGCATCTTTAATGGGGTTAAAGACAAAAGTGAGTGCCTTATAATATATACAAGCAAATTAAAGAATCTAGCCATTCAACTGTGATTGCAGATTTCAGAAATCTGTATTGCAATATCTGGTTTATTACTCTAATTAAATCTGAACATGAACAGAGAAAAGGAAAATAAAAGTTATTAACTGTATACAGGACTTAACACAAGACAATATACCAGAAATTACAACTATTTGACAGTCAATTTAGCTCTAGCGTGGCCTTGAGAAATCTGGAACTGGTCAGTCATGCCAAAATGTGCCATAAGAAGCCAGACATGAGTAAGAAACTCTCCTCCTCGCTTCAGCTGGCGGGCATGGTGACTTCCTCGACCTTGACTTGCAGCATAAGTTAGAATTTCGAACCAAACATCTCTAATCAATTTCCATCGCCTCTTTTCGTCCGAAATTTTATTCAATTCTGAAGCTAGCCTGGATGCATCAAACAACACAGATTTGCTCATGTCGCCTTTCACTTTGATGGGTGGGACATGAGTTTTCACTTTAAGTAACATTTTGCAAGCTTGAATTTTTAGTTCCCTCTTCTGATCTGTTTTTTCAGAGCCATGAGTTTCCTTTGTCCGATTCATGTACTTCCTTTCTTCTAAAAATTTCCTGGCCTCAGAACGAGTGTCGCGAAACCTGATAAGGCCTATCCCAACTGGTAACAAGGAAGGATAAATAACTAAGAGATATAGCATGTATCTTGACAAAAGCTTGCTAATTTTTCGATTTGTGCAACCTGAAAGATCTGAAGAATTGCCCTGAGTGCCAGAGTAATAGCAGAATTCAGTTGCAACATGCCAAACAAGAATGCTTTGATCAAACTCAAAGCCCTGAATACTCCAATCGATGGGACTATCACTACTCTCACCATAGTATTTTCTAAGAGCTCGGATTCCCCTATTGGTGTATATGTCTCTGCCCTGATAAGTGGTGTCACTCCTTTTAATTGCTTCATTAAATCGATAACATTTCTTCAGGACATGTTTGAAGATCAACTTTTTCAGACCTTCAGGCACTTTCTTGGAGGTTCTATATCTGTGCTGTTCCCAAATTCTATTCAAGTGAAACCATTTTGGCATTGAAAGGTTAGTTTTCTCTTTGAGGCAAAGAGATGTGATGCTGTATTGCCCCATGGAATTAGACCACCTGGGCAGTTTAACCACTGGTTCCAAACAAGTAATTATGGCTTTTAAGATCCAAATTTGCTTATGCTTATTGAACCAAAGACTGGCCTCGTCTGACAGAAATAGAGAAACAGCAGCAATTATTTCTAGCAATATTGCTACAATCAGCAAGCAGAATGTTATGTAGAGGTCTACCTTGTGATACTTCTTCTTGTCAGAAATGGAGAAAATCAACAACACCAGGGTGGTGAGAAATGTGGTGATGAAGCGGCTAGAAAGACCCCACGTTGTATTAATTACTATTGCCTTTGTGTATAGCAAATCATACATGAATGCCAGTTCAATAGCAATCACATCGAAAGCATCTGCATGAGAGAATTTCAGGAATAAAGACTGACTAATGTCTCTGTCTTGAAAGCTGAGGATGAGATCTGCAAACAGACACTTGAATATCTGAAATAAGGCATTAGCTTTAACAATGTTTACATCAGATGTGGTGTCTCCAGAAGCTTTTACATCTATTTCAGCCTGGTCATCTTTCACCTCTTCTGCCTCCACACAAAACCCCTCTGCATGTTTCAAACTGAACTCATCCATGAACTTGGGATAATTGGGGCCAGGATCAGGATTAGTCAGCATTGAATCTCTAAGTTGATCACTGCTAGCTGACCAAAGAGTCCATGTCCTCTCTCCATACTTAATGCATCCAACAACAATCATTGCTATTGCCAGATATGAAAGATGAGAGCCAGTGTTCCATGACAAGAGAAAGATGTATAGCACTGCGCCAGTTTGGACAATAAGTCCGAACAAGTGCCGCAAATACAACTCATTGTCTTCTAAAGAGTAAGCTGTGATAGTGTCAGGACCACCCAAGTGCAACAGAAAAAAAGGAGCCCAAAATGCAGTAAGCTCATTGTTGGCATCAATAGAACAACCATGGCGATGATAGATTTGTCCTAGGTTATTTAAGAGCAAACCAAGGGCCATGGTAGCTACAGAATCAGCCAGCAAGTAGGCACTCCAGACGACACATTTAAGCCGAAGTCTACCATCATACTTCCTGCGATTCCCCAGAAGGATGAGAAGTATTTGTGAGATGAGACTGACAATAATCAGTCCTCTCAGCTCCCATTTCTTCCACCAGTCTCTCACACTTTGAGGAAGCAACTCCACTATTACCCTCCTCTTCATCAGCACCAAGCTGCTCACAACTGAAAATATGTACATTTGCAAAAAATAAACTCAGATGATATTTTCAGATCAATGTCATAAAAAACCAAGCATAACTATTAAGCTGTCATTCAAGTTCCAGGAAAAAAAAAACATAATAATAATAATGATGAAATGACAGACCTGGGATTATCATCCTTGATATTGCAGTTCTGCAATCCCAAGTGTCCTAACCAAACCAGTCTCAGTTGTGTTTCTTTCAACTTATGAATAATAATTTCTGAGTGAGAAATTTTGTCTCAAGTTCGATTCCAACTGCTATTAAAAAAAATTAAAAAATTATAATAATAATAAACTTTGTCTTTATAAAAGGAGATTCACAGAAAAAATTATCTTACAAGTTTCAAGTTTCAGAATCTCCCATTGAGAAGAAAGTCTACACTAAATCATTATTCTGATGTGGTGCATCCCATTTAATTATGCATTGTCAGGATTCAGGAATTAATTTTAAGAGGGCAAATTCAAAATAAAATAATATAATATATGAAAAATAAATAAATGAGTGGCATAAAATCTAAAAGAATTAATATAGATAGAGCCAAGTGAAAACAAAAAATAAAACCAAATTAATGAATTTGTTTTGTTGAGTGGGGTCACTGCCCCCACTCATTAGATTCTATGCGAGGATTTGAAGACTTAAAATTAAAGATAAATTGAACAAATTAAAATAGATGATATGCCATACACATAAGATTTCCGCATCAGGTTGTAAACAATAATTTCCATAATTAGTTTATATATATAACACTATTCGAAATTTTAATACCATTCTCTTTGTTCTATAATTTTCAAATCCGCTGCTGAAAGATCTGGGCTATTAATCCTCTGTAGGTCAGTTTGCAAACTGTGGATGAAATGATCTCTCATAAAGATGATTGTTGGTGTTATTAGAAGCATACATCATATAACTTCAAAAGAATCTCAGGACAACACACATTAAAACTTTCACAAATGCTATCTGTTTATTACATAAATCACAAATCAGACATGCTAAATATCAACAATTCCAGGGATTCATATATCACATTTCCTTTATACACCTCAATATGTGAGTGGCTGCAGCCTGCAAAGACATACAAGTTTTTTCATCAGATAATAAGGAAGATATCAAGGTTAGCAATAAAATCTCTAGTTTTGCGTTGATTATGAAAAAGTTGAGCTATTAATAGCAAGAATTAATGGTAGTTTACCTATCAGGGATCTCACATATCTGAAATAACAATTTATCCCTATCATCACTGTTCTGTCAGGATTTTCTAACACGTTTTACCTTTGATCCATTAAATCAAACATCAAAACCCTTACAGGTGGAACACTGATGACATCAGGTAAATTGTTATTTCAAATTCCTAAGGGGAATTGTTATACAGTGATATCTCATGGCTACACGGAAATAACTCTAAAAGCAATTTCATAGAGAAAATGATGGAACAAGACAAGAAACTAAAGAAGCAGCCAGTATTAGTGTCAAGATGGTCTTACACAGGACAACACTTCACCCCTGCAGACTCCTTGCTTCCGCGAGCAATTTAATCCTAGATCACATAGGAAAAGAAGATGATAGAATGAATATAAGAATTTTAAACTATGCATGCAGAAAAGGACATTAAAACTATAAAAACTCACCCATGGAGGTTCAACTTTCCAGTTGTTTTCAGTAGTGACTGCGTACTTGTGCAAGCTTTTTTTGACTTCAGCTGAAAATTTCTCTTTCATATTTGTCAAGATCAATTCTCTCAAACTGGTGACATTGTTCAATCCTTCAAGCTTCTTTAGATTTCGGCAATATCTGATCTCTAATTCTTTTAGCACAGGCATGGCTCCTTTCTCAATAGTCCACCCACACAGACTTGGTAGCACCCATAACTTCAACACACGGAGTTGAGGAAATCCATCAGTACAAGTCATGTCTTCTCCTATGTAGGAATGCGCGAAAAGCCGGAGGACCTTCAGGTGTGTTAGCTGTCCAAGGATTGGCATTGGATCATCGAATAGTTGTGACATTGACAAAGTAAGGATTTCAAGTTTATGGGGAAGTTGGTTTATGTCAATTACTCTTGGAAGCTTTCCAAGCAAATAAAGCTCTTCTAGATTAACAAGCTTATGCATGGATTCCAAATTGAGGTCTGAAGGTTCAGAATAATCATCTATTGATCTCAACTTCAATGATCGAAGATTGGTCAATGTAGAAATCCAGTCAGTTATCCCTGGAAGTGATATCTTATGGAATGTCAATCCCAATTTGCGGAGACTGCTCAAGTTCTTCAACCAATTCATTGGAAGGCAATCCTTGGCATTGCCTATGAATAAACCCCACCAAGTGTGAAGATTGGTCATAGCACTAAATGAAAATCTTTTTTTCTTCAACATTTCAAAATGAATATCATTCATGTAAAGATGCCTAAGTGTCTTTATTTTCCAGATGGACATAGGCAATGTGGTAATATTGGTGTGCTTAACATCTAAGGTCTCTAGACATGGAAGATCACCAATTGAAATGGGAATCGAGTCTAGAAAAGTCGATCTCAGACCTAAGTACGTTAAAAGCTTCAGTTTTCCTATTGCTTCAGGTAGCACTGGTTTGTATACACGTTCTAGATCAAGCACTCGGAGAAATCCAACACCTCTCTTTATGATTTTCTTGTTCAAAAAACTGCGTGCTTCCTCCACAGGTTTCGCTCCCTTTCGGGTGTTGAAAGATATGTAAGAACGCAGATTTCTGATGCACTCATCTGGAAGAGGGTTGTAATGGATGTCTGAATGTTCCACAAGCCTGTGGATGCATGACTTTGGTGAACTGGATGCAGAATCTGATTTGCCATGGACATAGAAAAATCCCATCCCTTCAGCCATTGGAAAGAGTGTATCATACAGAGTACTTGGCATGCGACATGTTTTGGGTGATCCATCTAATTTCCGAGTTGTTACTTCAATCATGTTCCTTTTCTCCAGTTCATCAAAATCTCTCCTCACAAGATCTTCAGGGAGCACTTCTTTCTTCACCTGATTTCCAGGGGGCACATCTTTCTTCACCTGATCTTCAGGGGGCACTTCTGGCATCACCTGATTTTGAGGGGGCACTTCTGTCTTCACCTGGTCTTGAGGGGGCACTTCTTTCTTCACCTGATCTTCAGGGGACACTTCTGTCGCTTCCCTTGGTGTCTCTAATCCTTCAGCAAGCCATAAATGAAACAACCTCCTCACTGGGATGCGATATGATTTCGGAAAGAGACATATATAATTAAGACATGCTTTTAAATGAGGGGATAGGTCCTTATAGCCCAAATTCCAGATATATGAAGGGCACTGTTTACCCAAGGAAGCCAATGGATCTGTAGAAATAGATTGACCTTCATCAAAAGCTGCATATTCATCAGTCATGCTTGTTTCTTTTTGATTAGTATGCTTAGTAACCCCTTCATTTTTCTTGTCTTCCGGCAGGATCTGCTCAATCACCTTTGGCCATTCAGTATAGTTTCTTTTACAAGAGAACAAACCTCCCAGCACGCATATTGCAAGAGGCAGACCACGACATCTTTGCCAGATTTTTTCCCTGAGATTCCTCAAGTCTGGATAACTTTCATCTCCCAGGCTTACTCGCGCCCTATTCAAGAACAACTCCCAACCCTCATCTTCTCGCAGGCGATTTAGCTTGAAAATGACAACTGATGGACTAAAACAGCGGGCTACAAAGGCATCAGAAGTAATTAGGATTACCCTGCTGCCATTTGATGTGCTCGGAATAATTGTTTGGAGATCATTCCAAGCACCAGGAAGATGGACATCATCCAAGACTATCAGGAACCTCTTCTCAGATAAGACTTTGTTAAGCTTATTTTCCAATTCCAATATGTCCAGGGGCCGTCCCTCAACACTGCTTTCTAGTGTAACCTGTTTCATTATGTCAATCAACATATTTCTCGTATCATAAACATCAAAAGCAGGAACACTAAACCAAGCAAGGCACTCAAAATTCTGTCGTATATATGGACTATTGTAAATTGTTTTGACTATAGTTGTCCTGCCAGAGCCTTCCACATCCACCACTGAGATGAGATAATACTTGTCTCTGCCATTAAGTGTTAGTTTAGCCAACTCCAATACTGTATCCCTCATACCAACAATATCTGTTTCCTCTTTCAAATATTCAATCATTCCCTTCAAGCGCTCCTTTTGCTCAGCCATTAAAATATCAGCTTCATCATCCTTGCTGTTCGCTGATGCTACCTGCATTATAGGCTTTGGGTCGAGCGAAATCTCTCTTCCAAAGAAAGTAATATCTGGACACCGTTCTGCATCAGCTTCACGAAAGCTGAAAATCACCCGGCTACCATTTGATGAATTCGGTAGAGCAAACTTGAGGATCTCCCAAATATCCGGCGTCCGCACATCAATTAATACTACTAGGTACCTCTTCTCAACTAAAAAGTTGTGGAGGTCCTGTCGCAGTGAATCAAGTTGCAAGTTCTCCATGGCCTCAGACTTTCCTGTAACTTGTTTAAATATATCAATGAGAAGTTGCATTTTCTCAAACTCTTCAGCAACACGAACCCAAGCACGACAATCAAAAAGCTTCTTGATACTCTCATAATTGTAAATCTTCCATAACGGTTCTCTCTCAGAACCATATTCCACCACTGAAATGTGAAAATGTGAACGGTCTCCATTGAGGATTAGTTCAGGTAACTCCTCCATTCTATCTTCTGTATTGGAAGTACTAGTTTTTGACAGATTGCTTATCTTACCAACTAATTTTTCCAGATTTTTCAAGAAACAAGATTGACTATATGGAAGATTCAAGTGCACGTAAGCTGTTATCTTCTTTTTCTGAATTGCAGTGAAGCTGTCTATGGCATCTTCTGCCAAGTAAACAGCTTGCAGAAGCTCAGAATTTGAGCTGCCATTACTTGAATCACTTTTCAAGAGTTCCTCTACTTCTGATAGTTTCTTAATGGACCGATGAAGTTGAGCACCCTCTATTGGCTGAATGATTTGACTACCCTTAGCCAGACTTCTTAGCTTCTCCTTCAAGAGAAAAATGGGTATTTCCGCTGCCATGGATTCTGAAGTCCAAATTTCCTTGCTTCTTTTTTTTCTGACAAATTTGAGAAACCAAATTCATTAGTACCAGCTGATGTAGAACAAGAAAACAAAACAGAGGAAGAAAGTGAAAGACAAGGAAACCAGAATAAGTGCAGAAAGAAATTTAATTAATACCAGCATTTAGACTCACTCTAAAAGTTACTTAGTAGGTGTATTGCAGGAAGATTCTAATCAGAATAGTTTAATAGCATAAAAAACCATACAATGTTTATAATTCCCTTGTATTTCTGATATTAACTTTGAATTGGTTCAAATACCTAGAAATGATTGGGATGAACTTGCATTAAGTCTAAAACTAAATCAATAATACTAAATGTCAATAGTCATATCAAAAGAAGAACCTACAGAAGTGTTAAATTTTCTCAGTTTTCTCCCACCAAATACTTGTGCATTAATTTACATATAATTACTCGAGGGAAATCCAGAAAAACACCATATCTACTACTTCACTGCACAAAAACATCCACCCTTAAAATTTAGATACAAATATCCAAATGTAATATTGATCTCACCATTATATCTCTCAACCAGTGAAGGTCAGTATGCTATAGATAATGTAATCAATCATGCGCCATAGCACGTCATTTTTTTTAATTTAGATCAACTATTCAAAGGTGTCAAAGAACTTACTAACTATTACCATGCTGACTATCTAAGAGATCATAATGGTGGTGAAATGAAGATATTGATAATAAAAGTTACCATGAAGATGTTATGAATACAGTTTGTAAGGTGGGATCACTTACCTTGATTTCTCTTCTTTGTTTAAAAAAACTCAACAGAGGAAGTAGCTGATGTCATTGCCTGTGCTTGAAGGACTTGTCAATCTTTGTGCCCGCGTCTTCAACACTGGCTTCTTGGTTACGTGGGAGCTTCCACTTCTGGTATTTTGGCCTTGCTGTTACAAAACTCAAGCTTCTTTTGCTTTATCAGCCATCTTGGCTCCAACATAAAGCAAACGGGGGTGTTTCACTGGTTAAGACAATAATATATTCAAATCAGGTAATACATTATTTTCTCTTTTGTTTATGTAACAAACTATCTGATTATTGATTTTTAAAATGAATATTTACTTACATGAATTCTTGATTTGCTAAAGGACTGATGCATAGAATACTTTTCCCATTTACAAGACAAGAATAGATCCTAATGGTAGAAAACAAGTAAAAGAAAAGAAAGGGAAGAACAAAGAAAAGCAGATTCTTAACTGCAAAACCTAGTTGAAACTTGACATATATTATGTTATCCAAATCCAAATATATAATAATATGAACATGAATCTTCATGTTGATCTACATATGTGGAATCCAACAGCCTTTCTTTGCGACAACTATCTCTTTTATTTATTTCAAATCAATTGTTGATTGCGATGGCATTGAGATGAGCACCTAAACTATTAGATGTGATATTAAACCATGTATGATCCAAGGCCTTCGAACTTGTCTAAGCTTATGGACACTCCTCATGTTCACACCTTGTAGCTCAATGGATGAATTAACAATGCTATCAACAGAACTAGGTGTGTAATCGAATCGAGTATTAAAAGCTCGAGCTCAACTTGGTTGGAATAGTTGAAGCTCGAGCTCGAACTCAACCTAACTTCAATCTCGATTAACCAAGCCAAATCGAGCTCGAGCTCAACTTAGTTGTAATCGGTCAAAATGTGCAACTGAAAATGTGAATTAAGAATTTGGGTTTTGAAGTTTTTAGTTATTAATTTTTTTAATTTTTATATATATAATTAAAATATTATATAATTTCGAACTCGAAAGTTTGCAAGCTGCTTGAATAAGTCACCAAACTGCTCCAAGTTGAGTATATTAGGTTCAAACTCAACTCAACTCACCACGCAGCTTGACTCGAGTCGAGCCAGAGCACTCTTGAGCGGCTCGCTCATTTGCAGGCCTACTGCAGAACCAAGGGTCTAATAGCTCAATTGTGAGTTAACGAAACTATACATTTCAAGGTTTTCAAAATTTGAAACTCAAGACATACAAATGTTCATACCACCATCATAAGTAACCTCAGCGCCTTTAAAGTCCACCAATAGAAACAATGTGAAACAAACTAATAGATTTGAGCAGAATAACAAATTAGTGACAAGCTATTCGCAAGTGTACGAAATCGTGCAAGTAGTAAAACTCGGTAACGAGTGCGAATCCCAAGGCTCAGAACTATCTACAGTACCAAACTATATATTCTATTGCTATTTGATTAAACTGAAGTTTAAGAATGAATTTAATGAGCAAGAAAATAAACTAAAAGCTAAGTAAGGCAATTTGTAAACACTTTGAAGCAAAAATCAATATCTAAACCTAAGGCATAATTTTTCACACCAATTTAATCCTATGCATTGACATCTATTGTTAACCTAATCAAGCGTATTCTAAGCCAAATCCCTTATTATTCCACTAACTCTCTCTCGGCAATTAGCAAATTAACCTTAAGCACAACCCAAGATATCTCTAAGTTGGTTTAGAAGCTAAGAGATCATTACTCTATGGAATTTACCGGAGCCTCACGATCTGGTAACCTATCTCTAACGTTTGCTCAATCTATGGTTTTATATCCCTAAGACAAATCAGTTTCATCTCTCGATCTCAACCTAACCCATGATATCATTCAACTCTCGAACCCTTGAGACTTGAAAACATTATGCCATAATAAACTTAGAATCATGCTCAATATAGAATCATAATAATGTCAACACATGTTCATAAATTGGACTACATCTTAGCCCTAAAAAGAAAGTTAGTTCATTGAAAATAACAAAATCCATCATTCTAATCAATGACATCAATTCAGAAAAAGATAAACTTCTCTAATCGGTGAACGAGAGCTTTCAGGAACCCGATCTCCAACTTGGTACCGTCCTCTTCTCCTTCCAAAAGTCCCTTTTAATTTCTTAAAACTCTCTTTTATATCCCTGGGGTTCTGGTCGTGCTTAAGAAAGATTAGAACTTAGCCCATCCAGATTCGGTTAGAGTAGTGAATTAACACAAACCCATGACCCATCGCCGCGGCGGTAAGAATGGTCGCCGCGGCGATCGTTCTTTATGTCCAAGGCATCCGTATCTTCATAATTTGAACAAGTCATCAACACGAACATTGTAGCTCTCTGAATAAGCTTTTCAACGCCACCAGATCATCGAATTCTGATTTCTACACTCAAGTTATGACAAAAACATCGAGGCATACTCATGAGAAAGATTTCCAGATTTCCGTAACATCTTCGAAGTCCCGCAACTTCTTCATTTCGACCCTAATTCTTGTGCCATTTGTTCCTACGCGTTGTAAATCCTATCAATATCGTTCTTTTCCCTTCAAAAACCTGTTTGAGCCTGAAACACTCAAACACCCATGATCCCATAATGGTATTTATAAAAATAATCCAAATTCCACACTTTAAGCACATTTTTCCATAATAAACCATTAAATCACTACAAATATGAATATTCAAACTCTTATCAATTAGGTTTCCTGATGAGATATCATCAACCTTATTCTTTTAAATTGAATTGATACCAAAATTCACAAATAAGGATTATATCCTGCAGACAGTCCTTAACTTGGAATATAAACAAAATTGTTTTGTGTGATTCTTGGTATCAACTAATTCCAGAAAGGTCAGCTCATGAGGAAACCTAGTGCATGTTCTGCCCAAAATCTATTGTTTGTCTCAACTTTGTTTAAAGGCAAGTCAAACCATTAGTAAGAAAGCCTTCCCAATTTGGGCGGTAGAACTTTCAACATCCGGAACTCCACTTCCTTTAGCCAAAAGTTAAATACTGTGTAACAAATCCAAGACAATATCATCCACTGCATTCCCAAAGACATCCCAAGGCGTATTTTAATCTAATCTTGTACCAAATTTTATCTTCAGAGGCTTTGCCATTGTCTCCATTATCATTAAATCTGGAGAATTTCCGGGTGGTTCAATTGGACCATGCTTTGGAGCAGTTGATACATCGTCTACACTTGCAGCAACAAAGGAGAAGTCATTCCAGCTGGGGTAGAACACAATCTTGACATCTATGCTATGACATAAAACAAATTACTATATAAGATCTCCATATGCCAAATAAATAATGACAATATAACATTGGAAATGCACCATCCCCAATATAAAAAATGGGCATAAAATTAGCATTAGGCACAACCCCATTATAAAATGAAACATTTATGTATCCAAAAAAAAAAAAATATAATACTAATTTAAATCGGTAAATCCTGAACAGAAATATTTGTTTTCCTTCCTCCATTCAATTCAATTTCAAAGACTTGGTCAATTTCAGTAGAGTATCTCTGGCCTCCGAGTTGAGAGATTTGCTTGGATTTTCTGAAACTCCGTCAATAGAGTCCTATCCTGTATTAAATTTCATGACATTCACAACTTCATATTATAATACATCATTATTTTCTGGGCATTCACTATTTCTCAATGTATAAGTCATGAAGTCATAAATTGCTCCAAACTTCAATTACAGATAAGCCCTTTACAAAGAGGGTAGATATGAACAATGTACCTCATAAAAAAAATAAATTACTTTTTTTTTTTTTTCATCCATTTACAGCTTTAAACAAAATGCTTCCAAGAAAGAGAAAAAGGAAAACGATATGCAGCTCTTCATCAATTTTCGAATTAACCGGAAAGATTATAAGCACTCAGAAGGCGTTGGGATCTCATTTTCAGAAATGTTGAATGTATCAAAAAGAAGGTTCTTCCCTCGAATTCCATTTTGCATATTGCATACTCCCTCTACAACAAAAACTCCTGAAAAATGAGAAAGAACTCACATTGTCAGCTCTATATAATCTTGGGGTCATCCTTTCACAAACCCGCAACAGTTCAGGACTGCACACCAACAGTTGAGGAAAAAGTTAAGCATGCATCTTGATGGGCATGCTAGCTAGATAAGAGAACTAATCTACAGGATGCAGGTAAAGATTTAGAT